AACTTATTTTCTCGAAAAACAACCTTTCAGAATTGGTACCGCAAGAAGTACTCGCAGCGCCTTAAGTCATAAGACCTGAGGCGGCAGACGATCGATTTTAGCATACTCTGATAGGGCAAAATAGAACTCCATCGGTTAAAATTTTGATCATTCTCGTTCAGTGGATTTCGTGCTAGCTCCCCTACTATATGGTGACAACCAGAACTATTAATCCCTTATCCACGTCAGTAGAAAAGTAATAGCGTACCGAAGAAAAATAATTTGCATGTAACCAATATTACGGTTGAATCTTCACTGAAAAGAAAGAAGTACAGCGAATGCATAAGCAGAAATGGGATTAGAAATACCATGGAAAACATCTGCACGACTTCGACCGGCGAAACAAAGAACTACTGTGTAATAAGAAATCTAGCACCGGGCTGGCCTCTAGTGGCAAAATAAAGGACAATGTAAAAGAACTCTAATACTACTAATACCTATAGATGCTGTAAGAATATTTAATATAAACCAGAGTAAAGATCAAAAAGTTACTTAAATGGTATTTAAATCAGGAATAACAATTGGTAAGAAAAATGTCTCTCGCGCTGCACCGTCCACAGTGGAAGGGATGTGAGTATGGTAGACGTGCTACTCTACTACTTAAACATTGCTCGACAGCGCGAACGCTACAATTGCGGAAGTTCACTACTCTTTCTTCACTCAACGATACTACGCAAGTTTTTTGGAAATTTCCCTTGAAGTACACCGTGATGAATTAAATCAGTGTAACTGTAGCTTAATTTGCAATTTTAAATTTCATTTAAGTATAGGAAAATATACATACGTACCGCTTCATACGAAAGGTGAACGAGAGTTGGGTGAAGTGATAAGCGACCAATAAATCGAGCATATATAACAAAGCGTGCGCTGTTGCCACAATTAAAGCGGCTACGGCTAGCTCCGAGGTTGCGTATAACCGTTCGGAGACGGGTGTAGGAATGGGCAGATTATTGAATCACAGCGTACTTAGTCGTGTAGCCGTATAATTTTATTTCATTTTAGTCAATAATAATTGAGTAGCTTAGAATTGTTCTTTTTTGTAAATTAAGACTTAGAAGTTAAAACATGTGGGTAAAGAATGTATTGCGTCTTTACGAACATTAGTCAACAAATGTTTGATAAGGGGATTTTATCAAAGTAAAATTTAATTGAATAAGATAACCGATGGCCTGTCGAAGATAAAAACTTGATGGATGTGGTGAGGGCTTAAAAATCCGTTAGGCGAGGCGGTCTCGAGTCATTTGAATAAGCGTACGTATCCTCCATTGCGTGTAAATTTCAAATACCATTTTTCCGGTGGTCGGCCGATGGTTTGAAGTTTTTGTTGTGTCAGTTAAAATTGAAGAAGTAGTGTTACAAGTTAGTTTCCCAATTGTTGTACAGGTTCAGTGTGCACGCATTCAGTTACCAGGAGAACAGGAGTTTTGGTCAATGTTAAAGTTTGTACCCGAGCTGCCATTTCAACTATATATGTCAATCGCCACCGAACCAGTTTTTAAAGATTTAAGAAAAAAAAGGAAGAACGTTTATGTACATACATGGTTGTGCTTTTACGATAAAAGAATTCCACTAAAAGTAAAGTAAATCTAGATACAGTTTGTTTTAATCGTTCAATGAAATGTATCGGGTTAATCGTTCAAGTCAAAATTTAATAGTGTTGTTTCCTTTGAATTGAGGATTTCCGGAATTTCAACTTTTGGATAAGTTAGTATTGAGATTTTCCAGTGTTTCGGAATCCAGCTGGATCTTGAGATTAAGATATTCCTTAGTTATTAAAAATAAAGTTTATAGGAACATAAGGATTTCATTTGGGTAAATTTGAGGTAGTTAGGTGAGGTTATTTGAGTGGTGTAATGGATTCATGCCACGGCACACAGCATTAATTTTTGGCGCCCAACGTGGAGCACAGCATTTTTTGTATGCACCTGAATACAGCTATATGTACGCAGTTCTCGTGTTATTAAATTTTTGAAAAAAACGATATTTGAATGCAGCACGTACGTATACTCAAGTAATATTAATAAGATTAATATTAACTTCTCCGTCACAAGCTGAAAATCGGAGACGTTTAGGTCATATTTTGATAATGAAGAAACAATAATAATATGCGGAAAAATGCACCCATACCCATAACTCAATTTATTTCTTCGAGAATTTAAAGCAAGCATTGCATGCGGTCGAGTTACAAGCTTTCTTATCCTGAAAATTTCCATACTCCGGGGGAAAATTGTACTAGAGAGGGTCTCAAAAGTTCACCTGTATCATCCCAAAAACGAACCATTTTTCAATTTTTCTTGGAGGGAGCTTTTTCAAGGGAGGGGCGTACTATTTGTAGCCTAAAGATAAACATCAACTCCAGGAATTCATATTTATTCGTCTTTTGTTCGTCTGCCTTGTAACCAGAGCATCACGTTTTGATTTTCAAATTTAAAAGGGAGATAAAAGGCTACTGCAAGATAAGGGACGCTTAATTTTTATTACAGAGCTAGCCGTGGGTAAAATTAATTGTGGCGGAAACATATTTACCAGTGCTTTTTGATCTCCCTATAATAAGATGCTATTAATGCGTAATTTTTTGTTCTCACATAGACATAGAGGAGTTTGTGCTTTGGTATACTTTGTGACTGGAATAAGGTCCAGATAGAGCATTTTAAGTTATAATAATTGCAGAAAATCTTGAAAACGTCACAAATAGATAACGTCGCGTGATATTCAGCCCAAACCTCCAAAAAAAGTCTCTTATATGTTTTTGTACCTATGCAGGCACCTCGAATAAAAGTAAAACTAAAAGCGAATCAAACAATTTATTTTGCGCATGCGCAATTCCAAATTTTTTATTTGTTAAAGATATTTAAACGAAATTTTGTATGTAGACGCTTTGAGTAAAAGTAAAACTAATACCAAATCAAAAAATTCGTTTTGCAAGCTATACTGATCTGGTGGAACAGAACCAACTTTTTTCGTTCCATAAAAACTTTATAACAAGTTATATAATACATATCGTTGTAGCGATCTAGACATGTGTCTAGTAAGTAAAAAATATCCCATGAACCTGGCTACTACAAAATCTAAAACACTTTTTTTCTGCCATTTTCTCTCCTAAGCTTCGATTTATATTACACAATAACATAAGCAAATAGACTTTTTATGTACCATAAGAACTTCGCTTATAAACCTAATGCATTCTAGTAATTCAGAACCTTGAAATATTATGATCAAATTTACGATTGTTAATTAACATAACTTAAAACAAACCATCAGTCTCTTTACCGCAAGTTTTATTTTGCAATGAGTTTTATATTTGTGGTTAAGCACGCGTAAAAGTGTTAACCAAATGGCATTGAAATGATTATATAATTCCGGATTACGAGAACCTCAATCTAAACACTAAAATACTTCATTGCAGATTGCTGTGTTCGGTGGACCTAAAGGCCGAACCTGCGACTCTCAATTTCGACGTGATCAACGGCGGCCCAAACGCGGCCGTACGCATCCTTTCCGTTCGCAATGATGGTACCAGAAGCGTGCGTTTTAATATCGATCTTGGAGGAAATGCAATGGAATTCATTGTGGAACCCGCAAAAGGAATCATACAGGCAAGAGTCTTCCAGTAGTAGAAATTGAAGCAACTGCGTTTAATTCGGCTCGCTTTATAAATTTTTTATTCAAATCTTGACGTTGCACTTTTGACTTTGCTAAAAGTATAATAAAGTAATAAAAAGGGATATTGTTAGATGAAAAATTAAAACGGCATGTAAAACTCTGAAATATTCAAGGGATGACGCTGAAATTTATTGCAAGCTAAAACTTTTAAATAGTTTCGAACTTTGCGAGATGTAGAGCTTTTTCAAAAAACTTTATTTCTTCATAAAACAAAATGCTTATTTTCATACACTTGTATGTGTCGGCAAATATTATTTCTTCCCTTAATTTAATTATTGATCTGGAGCAATATATGAAAGTATTGCCAAAAAATTACCCAAAACTTTTATTTTGTAAATTTTGCTGTGTGTGGCAAATGGTAACTAAGCTACCCACAAAACACCTGACTAGCTAGCTCTATTTAATAAACTTTCTCAAGATTCTCAAGATACCTTCGACCTCCGCTACAATGAAAAAAATCTCGATAAGAACTTTTTATTAATTTAGGTGTCTCACTTTCAACAAGTTCAAGGAATTATTTAAACAAATTTTGAATAACACCTAGCATATAACTCTGGGCAGAAGTACCTACCAAATTTAACATGGAAGCTCTAATCTTGGGTCGTAAAATGTAGGGTTCGATTAACCGCAAAATTGTTCATTGACGAATAAAATATCGTTTATTCAAGCTACACAGAAATTGAAAAAGCTGAAAGAAAGAGAATCTCTCAGGGCGCGTTTAACACATACCACGCATGCAAGTGATCGATAGACAATTAAAGAAATCTTAATTATTTACAGTTTTTGATTATCCAATAATCTGGTCGTTAACTGCGATACTCTTGCGCGCAAAGAACGAAACTCGCTGACACTATCTTTATTAGGTAATTCATTTGATGATTGTCATACATCAAGTCAACTAACTTTCTTCAATAAACCAATTTCACTATCAAACAGACGAATAACGTCTTAATATCCAATAGGCTGACTGCCCAATAAGAACGTAAGAAGCGGCACACTTTCGGACCACCACCGAAAAAGAAGCCTCGCTTTTTGTTGTTCTCTTCCACCAAAAAATGTCTATCTTTAAAATTTCCTAAACAAACAGCCATACAAAATCAAATTTTAATAACGCCAGGTTCTAAATGAACTGCACACCTATTGTTTTCTTATCGGCGTGCTTATCTTGAAACTAATTAGATTTCACCTTACACAACGCGATAACAAATATTCTTATCGCAATACCTTTTAATATAACGCACAAATACGACCAGATGTTTTCTTCTAACGCGTAATTTCAGTTTTTACACAAGGCGATTAATTGAAACAAAACTTAAACACTTAACAATTCTTATACAAAACAACGTCAACAATTTCAAATTCAAACAAAAAGAACGAACTCCGTGTCTAATTCAAAACCAGCGACCAAATATATCTCTTAAAAAAATGTA